ATCTAGAGGATGCGTGGGACACACACCCCCCTCCCCAAAAAAATACATGCACCCCCCCCCCCAAAATCAAGTCATGTCAAGTAATTAAAATCACCTCAAATCCCCTTATTTTGCAAGTTAGCTCTCCTCACCTAATCATTGAGTAACCCCTGACCTGAGAACTTTTTTTTTAAAGACCTCAACTCAAGATGCCCGGATATGGCACCGTAACTTTAAAAATGTTTTATAGAAATTCAATCAATTTTTAATAAGTGAAATGTACATTATTTCTTTGTTGAGAGATTTAGCAGGAGATATTTTGATGCACAAACTAGCTATCACAATTAATATCTGCTCATCAAGAACCGCCTTATACAGTAGCGGTACTGTCACATAGAACCGATCCAGATTACTTATATCTGTACTGCTGTATACTACATTCTAAGGTTAGTAGTAATCATTGCAGTAAAAATTAATATTATTATTAATACAGTATTTTGATGTGTAAAGTATGTGTGTTATTGTATGTATTACTAACTAACTACTAAATCCTTTCCGAGCCACTGGGGCTCATAGGGCTGGAGCTTATCCCCAGTTTCTGTAGTGTGAAGCAGATGAGTTGTACTCCCCCTGGACAGGACACTAGTCCGTCGCAGGTTAGTCCCCAGCAGTTTGCTGGTACCCATTGATACAGCTGGGTGGACTGAAGCAATGTAGCTAAAGTGCCTTGCCCAAGACCACAAGCGAATCTGCACAGCGGAGACTATGTATTACAGTAATGTTAAAAACATTGAACTACCAATGTAATTTCCATGAGAAAAAATAAATTAGTTTCTGATTGTGATATTAATATTGTTTTATTTTAACTATATACAAAAGCTGGTATATGGCACATTACTTTATCACTCATCCAAAATAATATATCAGCTACTGGATATTTAAATATTTAATGGGGCAGCGTGGGATGATGAATCGTATGACGGCCAATGAAGCATAGCATCTTTGTAGTCACACTAGACCCCAGTATAAACAAGGCACACTGGTGACTATCATTGGATATCCTGGCATCTAGTTAATTCTGCATTGGTTAGCCTGGCATTTATTTAATTAAATTAAATTTTTGCATATTTTTATTTTATTTATTTATTTATTAAGAAATTTTATATATTTTATGTTTTCTAGAAAATTATCGGTTAGTCTTCTCCAGTAATATTATGTACAATCTAATCAAGGCAATATAATTATTTCTAAAAACATTATTTTGCCACTTGGAAATGAGAATACTTTAATACTTGAGTTGCTGAGCTGTTCCTCTCTAGACAGGATAAAGACAGGCATTAACGATGACTCAAGTAACCAGGCCTGGGATTTATCAATCTTAGAAAATATTTTAAGACAATAAAGTCAAACTGCTTACCGTGCGTAAGCTTACAGCATTTATCAAGGCATCTTGAGATTGTTTGGTTTAAAAACTTGTTATACTGTAGATAATTTACTTTTTATTCATCTTATTATTTCAGAATTTTAACTATACAAACAATAGGAATACTGTACAGTAATTACAATTTATTTGACAATATTGTGCTTTACTGTACATATCTATTAATTATACAGTATTGATACACACTATTGAGGTCAACAAACTTTATGGCAAAATAAAATGATTTTGCACGTATCAGGGGTCCCAAGTCTCTCGCAACTCGCGGGAGTCTCCCAGAAATCGGGATGGCATCCTGCACTCCCGCAAGCTAGCAAGAACCTCCCGGAAAATTACCGTAATGAATACAGTACTAGCAGAAAAGAAAAAAGGAAGTATAAAAATGTAAATCAATTACCGGTACCTGAGTATCAATGGTCATATCACAGTACTCATATCTATTTTTATTTTATTTTATCCAACAGTGTAATGTAATTAACAGGAGATTAAATACATTTAAAATAAGATCAATAGAAATAAAACCGTATTTATTCGAATAAACACCCACTTTGAATAAACACTCTCCTGGAATAAATGCCCCTTCCAGAGCTTCATTTGGAATAAACCCCTCCCTTGAATAAATGCCCCGGGCATTTATTTTTTCCTCGAATAAATTCCCCCAAAATGACTAAACAAAACTGATGGAATAATTCTCAACATAATCCATTTATATTATACTCCAGTAGAATTTTTTCTAAAATGGTTGGGATTAATAACAGTAAGTCTTTAGGATCATGCAATAACACATTTTGACAATAATTATGTGTTGCAGTTCCACATTTACAGAGAAATTATAGAAAGTTTATTTGAGTATACAGTGTACATATCCATTTTACACCAAAAAAATAAACACCTCCCTCGAATCGAATAAACGAATCCTTTAAAAACCCTTATCAACAATAAATGCCCCGGGCCTTTTTTTCGAATAAATACGGTAAGTCAAAATTAAAAACATATCTGGTCAATTATTCACAGCACTGATTGTAGCACAGGGTGGGTTGAGTGGGCCTAGACCCACTCAAATATTTTTGTAGGCCCACCAATATTTGCCAAAAAAGTTTGAACATTGATTTTTACAAAACAACAGCCCAGTGAATAACCACTGAAGCAGTTGGCTGTTGTTTATTTTGGTTGGAAGGTATTAGTAATAGGAGATGACATTATAAAAAGATTCACTAAATTCCAGAACTTAAAAATGCTAATTTTTGAAGGGGCTTTGGCCACTAAACCACGACCAAGGGTCCTCAGAGACCCCCTTGCCCCAGCCTTGGTTTCTCAATCCCTTGCATAGTGCTTACTGGACCCACCCAAAATTTTAACCGACCGTGCCGCCGCCTATGATTTACAGTACAGTACATAAAATCTAAATCAATAACTTTGCCTCCCCAAAGAACCTGATGGTTGTCAAAGATACACATCAATCAAATAATCAATGAACTTCATTCATCTCTCTTTATTGACAATTACAATTCAGAACAGAATAGATATATAAACACCACAACAAACTAAAAACAGATAACAGCATTTCAAAGTAAAACAAACACAGAGGGCGAAAGTCATACTGTAGGAAATCAATCAAATCTGTGGATTAGTTTGCACCTGGTAGTACATCAAGGCCTAGATAACTTGGAAATAGTTTGTGGGAGGTTACCTACTAACCCAGGTCCATTATAATTTTATAATTTGAATTTCTTTTAAAGAGGGCTGGAGCTTATTCCTCAGTTTCAGTTAGTGTAATGCAGATGAGAGTGTGATGCTCTGCTGGTTCATGAATTTCAGTAAAGTATTCAGTAAACTATAGATAAGAACATTATGAATATCAAGGCTGAAATGACTGAAAAAACTAAAAGGCAATGTCAGTACTGTATGTCAGTAAGAATAATCGTGTGTGAAAGCTCACCAATAGTAGTTGATAAGTAAATGATATCGCAATTGCTACCCTTTGCGATTCGGTTCTACAATCTTCATAATTCCCGATTACCATGGAATCCAATCACAACAAATTCCACAGGCACTGTATGGCTGAGGTCAGTCAACATAGGCCTAGCCGCCGGAGGCCTCGGCCCTAGAATGTAAAGTTTGTTTGTGTTGAGTCTGAATGCGTTCTTTCAGTTTTGGAATACCACCGCAAGGCCTCTTTGGATTGGGGGCCCTAAGGCTTTGGCCACCTCCGAAGGGCCATAAGCGTTACGCCACTGGGTTTACCACAGGTTACTCCCAGGAATTCTATTCCATGATCAATAAAAACACCATCATGATTCATTTTTAGAAAACAAATTCCTAACTTCTGGTTTTATGATAATTTAGGATTCCAAATTTCTTCACATGTCATAAATAAATACCACATTATTTTTGTTTAGAAAAATGAATTGTTTTATCTACGATATCTAAATAAAAACAAACCAACACAATTATTCACTGGATGTAATAAAATGACTGGGATTCAGGTTGGAATGTTTTTGTTATTGCCTATGGTGTGGGGTTTCTGTGTCAACGATTGAATGTTGTTTTCAATTTAAAAAATGTAATTTAAATTTTAAGAATGTAGCTAGGCTGGAATTAAGCTACTACTAGCTAAGACTAGGTTTATTAACACTGTAAAACAAGACCAGGCCTAGCCTACGTTTCTAGGCCTAAGGCCTAGGCTACCTAGCTAGGTTTTAAAAAAAACAAAAGCCGATCAAAGGACTTACCTGCCTACAAAATTCTCCAACACACTGCTTTTCCCGGCGCTTTGGCCTCCGACGACAGCTATTTGCGGCAAGTCGATAAACGATGTCATTCCAATAGATGAAAATGCATCGTGAAGTTTATTCACGATGGGAATAAGGTCTTCCATACCCCGGTTACCCATTTTTGACTAAAAAGGCCAGATACACCACGGTTCAGATCAAAATTCCTGCAAATAAACAGTCTTTAATGTTTTCTCCCCCTTCTATCACTTCCTGATTCGTTATAAATCAAGCATGCGTAGTCGGCTCAAAATGACGTTTTACGTCACACGCACACACGTCAACCCTCATGGGAGATGTGACTCTATGCCGTCAACTTATGGTTTATGTTTTATATTTATATAGCGCCTTCCACGATCGAAACCGTCTCAAGGCTCTTGAAAAATATATGTGAATAATGTATGGAAATAAATTTGACCGGAAATAACCTAAACTAACCAAACAGAATAACCGACAAAAAAACTTGCGTCGACATACGTCAACTCCCGTTAAATTATGAATTTATGAAAAATAAATTAGTAACTACTTAAAGATATTTTGTTCCATAAAAAAAATACAAAAAAAAAATTGAAATTAATAGCTAATTTTGAAGTAACATAAAGTTTTAAAATTCAATACTTAATAGGCCTATGTTATATAACGTAGGCCTAGTCCTAACGATAATCAGAATGTCTTTGGTCCATTTAAACGTGTTAAAACCGGGATTCAAACCCGGTACCTTCTGATGTTTTTGAAGATGCCTTAACCAACCGTATGTGCTTTTTCGAAATAATTGACGCTGTTCCAATTATTATGGCCTACACATCATTGAGGGATGATTCATGATAGGCATTGGAATAATCATCATCTATTGGAATGTGGTAACCGAACGATACCGCTGTTTTATCAATCAATATCTCCCTAAAGTGTGCAATTAAGCAAACGACAAATAGGCTTATTTCATAATTAATATCTAAATGTTATTATTTTGAGAGCAGTTCTTTACCTTCAACGGTGCCCCATAATAATATTAAAATTTATAACTAATATAATACTGTATATTTATAGTTACAAACACAAAAGCATAGATTCTTTAAGAGTTTGCACCGCACTAAGGATACTCCCAGGAAAATCAAGGCCGTGTAGTGCCAAAGAGTCTCTTGTGGTGTCCCATCATTTTATGAGTATATTAGAAAATCAGTATACGTGGATTTATGTGCCGACTCTATTTATCGGAAAACAGTCTGATTAAGTCCACTGTTAATCCCCTAATTGAAAATGAAAAATGATACTAAAATAGAATTATTTATTACATTAAGATGATTACTATTGAAACCAGTAAAATAGGCAGACCTATTTCATTTTTGTTTTGTTGCATCTGCTAGTTTATGTAAGCCTGAGACAAATGGCTCAGTGTATACATACATATTTTGTTTTTCCTCTATGCTTTTTGTTTTGATATGGACTTTGTCTGAAATAAAGAGAAATTCAAATAAGTCAAATTTATTGGCCAATCAAAACATTTACAATAAATCGGAAAATAAAAAAGAAAACACAAAAGTGACAGGAAGATGCCAAGAGACTACTAAAGGCCAAAAGGCCTGTCATTATAGCTTCTGAATGAATAACGAGTAATTAAGTGTTAATTTTTTAAAGGTTTTCAATAATGTTTTGATTAATAAATAATGTTTTCCATGCTCCTGTGTTATTTTGTGTTTAGTGTCATGGTTCCAAAGGTTTACGTTTTCATGGGTTGCGCCATTACGTTACGTTACCTTTTTTTTTCAGTTTTATTTAATAAACAATTCATAAACAAGGCTTTTCTTACTCCTGTATTATTTGTGGAGTGTCTCATGGTTCAAAAATTATTACTTTCTCATGGATTCAACTGTTACGTTACAATTCCTCCTTACACTTTTTTTTAACAAATTGAATATAATAATTGAATGCAATCTATTTCTTTATTTCCATGAAAGCTTGAATTATTGTGCCTCAGTTAGAAACAGTTTATATTTCTTTTCGGAATATACAAACGCTGTTGGCACCTTTATATTAGGAGGTAAATAATTCAGTATAGTTTAGTACCAAATGATCTTCACCTTTAGATGCAAAACTTGTTTTATAGAATAGTAGAGCCTTATCACAACATTTCAAGATCAGAATGAAGAATTGTTCACGTTCGGCCTATATGATTTTAAAAAATCGAAAGGAACTTCGAATAATAAATCAGAAGAATTGATTCATGATGAGTCAAAGGCAGCTGTTCTACAATCTCATTAAATAGAGCGCCACCATGTAGATGATGACAAATAAGTTGTTGTGAGCCGGGTGGTGCAGTGGTGACACGAATTCGATCCAACTCGGCCACAAGTCAACTCGGCCACAGTCAACTCGGCCACAAGTCAACTCGGCCACAAGTCAACTCGGCCACAAGTTAACTCGGCCACAAGTCAACTCGGCCACAAAAAGTTTGGCTAC